ACATTAAGCAGCGAAATCAGTCTGTAGTTTTTAATCTGTGTAAAAACTGAATCTTCTTTTGGTATTAGAGTAATATTTGCTTCCATCCATGTGGCTGGAAGTTTAGCCTCTAAGAAAAGTCCATTACAAACATCTTTCAATGGTTCACTTAGTATATTTTGTAAGTTTTTAAATAGCTCTGCCAGTAGCCCATCTGGACCCGGTGTTTTCCCATTTTTTTGTCTCTTTATAGCTTCTGATATTTTCATCATTGTAATTCTTTCCTCTAACTTGTTTTTAAATGTCTCTGGGAGTTTTAGAAGATTTTTTCCTTTTAAGTATTGAACGGTTCTCTCTCTTGAAGTTTCCTCTTTGTCATACAATTCCTTGTAGTATTCCTTAATTATCTTTTTTATTTCTTCATTTTTAAATTGTGGACAGCCTTTTCCATGTACCAAGTTGTATATCATTTTCTTATCTTTCTGTTTTTTAAGTTTATAAGCTAACCATCTTCCTGGTTTATTTGCATTTTCAAAAAAAATCTGTTTTGCTCTCTTTATCTGCTCTGCCACTTTTTCTGAGTCCAATAAATTTAATTTATGTTTTATTATTTCCATTTCTCTTTTCAAAGTCTTTTTCTGCAGATTTTTCTTTAGTTCTGATTCTAGTTTTCCAAATTTTAATTTTAATAATACGTAATGCTGTCTTCTCTGTTTATTTTTCTTTGCCATATATGTTATAGCTATGCCTCTAAAGTATGCTTTAGCTGTATCCCATACATTTTGTAATGTTGTGTTTTCCTCTTTATTTTCTTTAAAGAAGAGCTCCATTTTTGTTTCGCTAATTCTATACAAAAATTTTCTTTTAATATAGATTGATTTAAAGTCCATCTTGGTCTTTTTTGTATTCCTCTCCATATCACTTTTAACAGATTATGATCTGCCCATGTACCTATTTCTATCTCAATTTCCTGTATATTCATCCTCAATTCAGATGTCATCCAAATCATATCACTTCTTGACCAGGATTTTTGGCTGTTTGAATAAAAGGTGTATTGTAATTTTCCTGGATTAATTTCCCTCCAGACATCTTGTATTCCAATTTCGTCTGTCATCTCAAAAAATGTACTAAGTAATCTTCTTCCGGTTTCCCCTGTTTTACTGCTTTTATAATCAATTGTTCCATCTACTATCGCATTAAAGTCTCCTACTAGACAGATATTTGGATACTCCAGTTTTATTACTTTTCTATCTGAGCTTTGATAGAATTCTTCTTGGTTATAGTTTGGTGCATAAATTACCACTAACAATGTTTGTTTTGGTGGAAATATATTTCTACCATTACAATTCTTCCTTCTTCATCTGAGTACACCATTTTAGAATCTATTGTCTCTTTAATACATACAGCAACACTTCTTTTTTTCGGATGCGCTGATGCATAGTAAAGTTTCCCAATTTTTCGATATTCCAATAATTTGTGGTTGTTTTTTTATATGTGTCTCTTGCAAACAAATTATATCTATGTTCAATTTCTGTAATTTCCTAAAAAATGTTTCTTTTTGATGGGAAGTTTAGTCCATTTACATTCACTGAAAAGATTCCATTTTCTTTCTCCATTTCCATTTCCATTATTTATATTTAGGTCTAATCTCTCTCATAATTCTCTGTTCTCTGGCCATTCCTTCACCTTCACCCTCTTGCTCGTCTTTCTCTTTCTGTTCTCCTACTTGTATAGTTGTTCCTTGGGCTGTCTCTTCTGTTTTCTTCTGTTCCTTGATCTCCTCTTGTCGTTGTTGCACTCCTTCATCTAGAATTGCTCAGTTTCTTGTCCTCCAAATTGAATCCAGTCGATATCTTGTATTATTCCAGTTTATTAAGATGCCTTCCGGCATTAACCATCTAAAGTTTATGCCTTTTGCAATCAGCTTTGTAGTTAAGAAATGGTAGTGTCTTCAAGTATCTCTTACTCTCTTAGGTATCTGCTTTAAAACCACGATTTCTTTATTTTTATATTGTAATGGCTCATCTCTCACTTTCTCAGTACTTCATCTCTTGTTGTTTTCTTTATGAATCTTACATATACATCTCTTGGTAGTTTATTCTTCCTTGCATTGCTTGAATTCATTTGAAATGTTTCATCTATCTCTATTTGCATCCCTGCTTTATCTGCCTTCAAAGCTTCCGGTAAAAGCTCAATGATCACATCTGCTATGTTTTCTTCTCTGTCCTCAGGCATATTTTGAAATCTCAAATAGTGTTCTGCCTTTTCCATTTCTAGAATTGCAACTGTCCCTTCTAGATTTTGATTGGCTTGTTCTAATTTTTCATTTTCTTGTGATAACATTTCCATTTTGATCAATATCCTCTGATTTATTTTCCATTTTCTGAATTCTTTGTTCATTTTTAATAATCATTTGATGTTGAGCTTCAAATTGTGCCTTTATATCCAAGATTTCTTTGCTAAATATCTCAAAATTACTTTGTGTCTCTTCATGATTTTTTTGCATCATCTCTTAGATCAATTTTAGTGAGGCCTGCATTTCATTTTGGGCAGTGCTTATTTTCTCACACTGCAGCATTGTTTCAATAGATCCCTGGGTTGTTGGGCTAGATTGTCCAACAGAGGGTGCAGAAGAAGTCTTCTTCATAAGTCTATTAATGTTGGATGTAGTCATTTGAAAGCCAACAATCTAAAAAAAGAGTCCTGGATGTAGGAAGAGGCCAGCTGTTTTTGAGTAAATCCACCTCCTCCAGTCGAGTCTCCGAAGCAAAACGTTCACTTTCTCCAAATAATTTCTGTTTAGTTATAGCCAAAGTCAACAAATGTAATTATGAGGAGTCTTTTCCCTTGTAATCTCACACCAAGGCATTTTGTTTTCTGCAGGTGTTTTTTTTTCAAGGTCAAAAGAGTTTTTCCAATATTTATTTATACTGTCATTTCTTCTTTCACCACTAGTTGTCCTCATACACTCATTTATCAATGTCTGATATTCTTTAGGAGTTTTTCCCCTTTGTAGTTACTCGCCGCTTTTAAGTTAATTCTTCTGGGGTCTTTCCTTTTAGCTCTTCCCCATCAGGGGCTCAACGTTTTATAATCCAGAAGGAGAAGTATTAAAGCACTGGCTCACCCGTCTCAGCACGCTGTTGACAGTCAGCTGTTAAGCGGAGCGCTTCGACTGTGGCTCTTCGCTTCCCCTCTGGTTTGGGATGACTTTGGCTACATCGGCTCATCCGGCAGTCTTTCCTCCACCTTTTCAGAGGATTTCTTCAGTTTGCTCCGATCGGCCACTGCCTGATCCAAGCTTCTGGAGTGTCCCTCCTTCTTCGTTGCCACTCCAGGGCAACTTTCTGACCCTTTAAAGATCGCTAGGCAAAGCAAAATCGGACTGGGAAGCCGGAGCGATGGCTTCTTCCATCCGTCCTGTCCGCCACCAAAACCACATTCTAACCACTGTGCCACCACAGCTCCTAATACAGGTAGTCCACTTCATTAGTGATCATTCAAAGTTACAACGGCACTGAAAAAAAGTGACTTATGACTGTTTTCATACTTATGAGTGTTGTAGCATCCTCTTGGTCATGTGATCAAAATTCAGCAACTGGCTCATATTGATGATGGTTGCAGGGTCTCTGGGTCATGTGATCACCTTTTGCGACCTTCTGACGAGCAAAGTCAATGGAGAAGCCAGATTCACTTAACAATCATGTTATTAACTGCAGTGATTCACTTAACACCTATGGCAAGAAAGGTTGTAAAATGGGGCAAAACTCACTTAACAACTGTCTCACTTAGCAACAGAAATTTTTGGTTCAATTGGGTGTCAAGGATACCTACACTACAGATCAAGGATTCCACAAGAGGAATTTAATTACTCAGACTGACAGAAGCTGGGGAAAAGATTCTACAAATTGGTTCTGAGTGGATTGTATAAATGCTGTCAATTCCATTTGACTCATTAAGCCGAGCTTAAGCCAAAACTGACCTAATATAATTTGTGAACCAGGCAGCAGAGTAACAGAAAATTAGAGAGATCTGATAACACTAACATAGAACAGTATCTGTTTTTCAAAATTACACAAGTTGCATTATGAACATCAACACACTTTTATTCAAAGTGCCTGCCCTTTCCTCCAGTATTAAAAACATAATTGTAGAAACAGCTAAACAAATCTTGTGCTAACAATAAGAATGTTCTCTTGATTGCCTATTTAGCATCATTTTGATTAAAATCCACATGACTTAATGCTGTGCACAAATCCAAATACTCTGGAGACAATGCTTCAGCCTCTGCAGTGAAACAAATGATGTCACTTTCTTGTTACATTGAGAGAAACAATTAAAGCACCACCAGGATTGTGATCAAAGTTTTTTTAAAAATATTGTACTGTATTTCTCCTTGGATGAGAAACATGGCATGGTGAACAGGTGGCTTTACCCTTGTCTCATACTGCAGTCTATTCTCTTGTGGTTTGGGGATCTCTTTTCTCCAAATATAGTTTCAAAAATCATTCACACAATACAGTAGCCATTGAATGGATATTGCTGGTGGTACGTCAGGCTCCTTTCATTCACTGCTAGAGATAAAATGTTGAATGAAAGTCTAATGGTAGGAAATATAAGCAGTACTTCTGGTATTGTTGCACTCTAAGTACCCATCATTCCTCATCAATGGACCTAATGGGAGCTGGATTTCACCAGTATCTGGAAAGCTGCCTATTGATTTAAAAACAACAGAGTTTGGATTAAAGCTAGGAGGTGTACTTGACATAGCATGTATCTTTATAGATGTTTTGTTAAATGCTACATTTCTTTGTCTCCATTAGGTGAGAGCCTTTGAACCTGCAAACCAAATTTTAGCACCCTCAGGTGAGGAATTGCCAAATACAGCTTTTCATGGAGGGAGTGGAGGAGAGGCCTGATGTGCTGAGAGTCCTTCTTGCCACAGCAGCAGAGTAATGTGCTGTCTTTGTCAGAAGTCATTTTTGAAGCAAAGTAGGATAGGGGAGGCTGGAAATAGCTGCTTATTGGTGGCAAGACCAGGAACGTGGAGTCACTAGCCGCCAGAAGGTCTTCTGAAAAAAGAAAATGATGACTACGTCAAAAGAGAGACAATAGGCAGGAGAGAAAGAACTGCCACCAGACAAAATAATACAAGAATTCCAGCTAATCACATGCTTAGATCTGGGTCAACAAGATCAACCATATATACACAATTAGGAGCCCATTAGCACAATACTCCCAAAGTCTCAGCAAGGTCGAAGGCAGCACTGGAGAGATTTGAATGGCAGGCCTAGCCTCTTCCAGGATGCAGGATCTGGTTCTGGCAGTTTCGCAACTCAAGGTAGCACGGATTTGAAGGATGTTACTTATCAAAGGCTCTTAGAGCCAGAATTTTCAATACTGCATGTTGCAGAGCACCTTTTGCAGCTACTGTTATGAGGAGAAGGAAGAAAGATTTTTTTTGACTCCCTGCAAGTGAGCATCTCTGACTAGGCTGTAAAACAGAATCTTGCAATAAAACCTTATGGAACCTGGGGTCCCCAAAATGTGCTGGATTTCCAATCAGAGCCAGCATACATGGTTGGCAACAGGTTGGGCATATCTGCTGCTCTCAATGGACCTTTGGTTTGGTCTTTTTTCCTGTCCAGGGCTCCATAGAATGAAAAGGAATGAAGTGAAAATAAAACAATGAGGACTTTGCAGCATTCATGTATCAATAACAGTCAGGTGCTTTTTTTTCACATACTGAAATGCCCCCTAAGTGCAACCAATGTGAAATATTATTTTTTCTTTATTTTTTTATTGATTGGAGTATTTTAATGTTTTAAAGCCAAAAGGTGATTTAGGCATAATCTTAATAAAGTAATATTAAGTAATAATCAAACAATCCTTAATTAAATTGTTCCAGCCAAATTATAGATATTTTTCCCTCTGCTTTATCACTCTCTTTATATCTGAAAACAACAAAAATTGAAACCTTTGTGCTCTCATTTTTAATAACATCTACTGTAGTTTCCAAATACATGCAAATAAGTATTCTGAGGCCTTGTTTTTCCCAATAGTGATGAGATAGAATTTTTAAACTTAAGAGCCAGTTTGATGTAGTGGTTCAGGTACTGGCCTAGAAATCAGGAGATAGTTAGTTCTAGGCTTCCCTTAGGGATGAAAGTAAGCTGAGTGACTTGGGTCTAGTCAGTCCAGCCTACATCACAGGTTTCTTGTTGGGAAAATAGGAAGCGGGAGCATTAGATATATATAGTGCCTTGAGCTGACCAGAAATAAAAGCAGGATAAAAATAAAATACATATTTATTTACAAGCTAGCATAGATACAGATGAATAACGCTAGGAATATATAACATTGGAAAAGAAGGAAGGAAAGAGAAGAGAAGGATGATCAGCAGTAACGTGGGTGGAGTCAATTATACTGGCTATGACTGCCCCGTCGGGAGACTTGAAAGAACAGGTAGGCATAGTTCAACATAGGGAAGATCTATTTATGCTGTCACTAGGAATCAGAACCAGCTTAATGGCACATATCAACCAGTCAGTCGGTTGATCGGTCAGCCAGTCAAGCCAATTAGTAGATACAGGTACAGATTATATCCCCTGAGCTGCCATTAGCCATTGCCAATACCAGCAGAATTAGAATCAGCTCATAGCTTTAGAACAATTTTATCTGCAAGTTCCTGGTGTTTCTGAATTCCCCACCTTCTTTACCTTAATTTTAGTAGCTGGGATATATGCCAACTAGTAGGCTTGACCCTCTTGGAAAATAACATGAAGAGGAAACCCAAGACTTATTCTAACTCCGCATAGGTAGACTGTCTACTCACCTCCTTGAATGGACAGTGGGCATGTGCAAACCACTCATGGCTGAATAAGGAGAAAATGGTCGTCATGCCCAAAATGAAGCATATCCATATGATGATGTTCCAGACAGGGTTTTTTCTCTTATCATTGAGAATAAAGTTAAGCAATGCTATGAAAACAAATAGAAAAAGGATTAATTGTATATATTCCAATCACACTGAGCCAAGGAGATAATTATTGATTTCTAATAACTGTTATTTGCAATAGAAACGTTCTTGGTTACCAAATCTAAAATAACAGCAATTCCTATGTTAATTATAAGACAATACTGTATGCCTCATCCCTACTCCTATGGAGGTAAAATAATTTGGGAAAGACAATTCTCAAAGCAATAGCCTTGTAGATGGAACTCCCTGCTCCTAGAACCTAGGCTATTTCCCTGTTCCTCTTTTATCTGCATCCTGATTACGACTAAAGTTTAGTCATGATCAGGATGCAGATAAAAGAGTACTTGCGCATCTGTTTTGGAATTGTAATTGGACTTCTGAAATAGCAACATTTTGTTTTCCAGTTATTAATTTTATTTTTGCTCTTTGCTCTTGCTTTTTAATTTGTAAAATTGTTTGACATTATTTTTTCCCCTCCTGTTGGAGTAAAGAATCTTAATTTTCTCAGGGAAGAACCACTGTTTACTCAGTCAGTGACCAGCAAAATTTGAAAAAAATACGACACCAAAATAATTTTCTCAGGGATGAAAAAGCAGCCTCCAACCTAAGCATACAATGCACCATCTGAGGGAATAATACAATGCACATGGCTGCCTGGGAAATTCTGGGAGCTGAAGTTCACACATTTTAAAGTCCCCAAGAATGAGAAACACTGGTCGGGAGGGGGGAGGATAATGCCCTGAATCTTTCCTTAGCTAGTCTTTCCCAATTTAGGAAGCTCCACGTTTGAGGCAAGCAATTCCCAGGATTCTGTAGCCAAGATGTCCGAAGGCTGTGATGACTGATAATAATAATAATAATAATAATAATAATAATAATAATAATAATAATAATAATAATAACAACAACAACAACAACAACAACAACAACAACAACAACAACAATAATAATAATAATAATAATAATAATAATAATAATAATAATAATAATAATAATAATAATGATAATAATAATAAAAAATCTGGAGCACATGAGGTGGGGTGAAGGTTCGTTCTCCAAGCTTGTTGGTTTCGTTACCAGGCTATGTAACCTTTTCAGTGGAATTTAGGGGATGTCAGTGTCAGTGTACTTCTGTTTATAAGGTCTCCGTGTTTTCAGGTGTGGGTCACAAGAGAGGGTCCTGTGATAGGTTTTGTGATGGGCCAGGTGTGGGTCACATAAGGTGAGAGTCTTGTGATGGGTTAGGGTTAGATGGATCACAAGACCCACCACAAGACTCTGACCACTGGCTTCATATAGTTTGAATAAATTTGGAGCAAATCCATCTCCTAGTGGTAAAAAAAAATGTATCAAAAGGAACATGAGTGTGTACCATTTGGGAAGTGTGGAAACCCAAAACCAGAGGAGGGTAGGACAGAATTGAAGAAGGTTCACCAGGAGCAATTCATGCCATGTTATTTTTTTACCGGCCTTGCTTGAATCCTCTGAGTAAATGTTCAGTCCATTTCCTGAGGGAGTACTGACCTCCAATCGTGGTAAATAGCACAAACATGACAGGAAAGAACATGCTAAAGACCAAGGTGAGTAGGTATTCATGAACAACCGCTGAGAGAAGGAAGACAATCAGCATGGCTCCACCTCGGGCTCTCCCTCCAAACAGCTAGAAGAGAAGGAGCACATGAGACCTCATCTTGGTACTTACCAATTAACAATGAAGACAGGCATAGAGAAATTACACGCAGCAGATCTACTTTACGGGATAATATAGGGTGGGTTTGGTAAGCTTGCCAGTACTTTCAGGTATTCCAGACAGTAAACCAAACCAAATAATTGTGCTTTTATTGTAAGGTTACACTAATAGAATCTTGCAGGTCTGAAAGCACTTCCTTCCTTTCCGGCCTTTATTTTCTGAACAACAAGAGAGAATCCCTTCTGAGATGCTGTTCTACCCCCCAATTCCTGCTGTGGGCTGAGGCATCTCTTGTTGATCATTGCCCTGTCTGAAGTTCTTCCTCTTGATCCCAAAGTGTATTCTCATAGCCCATTACAGCCTTACCTACCCGCAGAATATCTTGATAAATATAGTAGTACAGCCAGTCGTGTACAATCACATTCCATGTCCGAAAGAATCCAGAGAATGATCTGGAATTCCACCAGTCCTAGGCAGGGAGAATGGAATAAATAGCATGAAACTAGAACATCCCTTTATTTTAGGCAAGCAAAAGGACAATTCACTCTTGATAGTCCTCGACTTAGAAGGGCAATTGGAATTAGAATTTCCATCACTAAGTCAGTGGGAAAACCAGCAGGAATTTGCAACTCCCAAACAGGCAAAGTTGGGTGTGGTAGAGCAAGCAGGTGCAACTGGGTGTTAGGGAAGGGGTGAGATTGAGGGGCAAGGGGGCATGAAAGGTGGGATTTCAGCCATTGGGAGGGCTGATGAATGATGTGGGATCATGTGGGATCTTGCAAAGTCTTTCAGAACATGTTATTTGATATCTCTTACAGTCCCTAAACATACAGGCAGGTTCTACAGGCAGTCTTAATTTAGTGACTACAATTGAGAGCAGCAACAAAGTGGTTAAGTGGTCATTAATTGGAAATAGTTGTGTTATTTATTTGTCAGATTTTTTTATTGCCAAATTTAAATGGTTGCCCATGTCACCTGAAGTGACTCTGGTGCCATATGATAAAAGCAAAAAGTAAAATATTACTTTTAATATTAAAACAATTAGCATAGATAAAAATGCTTGCAATCTGACTTCAACTTTCCTTTGCTTTACAGACCTGCAGAGATTGTAAATGCGAGGACTGATCATAACTTTACTTTACCATCATCGTTGTAACTGTGACCAACTGCTAAATGAGAACCACCTATATTTATTACTTTGATTACAAGTAATTTGAGACTTCAATATCAGTTTCTTCAGTACAGTTGTTTCAGCAAGTTAAAATTTGCTTTTCTTTTAGAGCCATAACATCTCAGAACTCTTTGGGAAGTTTTGCAAACTGTTCTTCACGGAGTGGTCAATGGACCATTCAAGTATATCCATGAGGAATGAAATCCAGACTCCCCATATCCTTCTTGCAATCTCCCCCACTCCTTGTTATCACCTTGTAGAAAGAACGGTCTGCAAAGCGCAGGATCTCAGCAAACATGTTGTGCCAGCAGTGCAGGAAGAAATAGAAGATCATGAGTGCCAGAGTTATCCCTGAATAAGAGAGGTAAAGAAATACATCAGTTCTTCCCAGAGATTAAAAATGCAATTATTCTTACAGATTTAAGGCAGACAACTGCCAGTCAAATTAGACTTTTAGCTTAGACTTTTAGAGATTAGCATCGTAGTGGAATATCTAATCATCCAGGTCATGGTTGGTCCAAGCAAAGCTGCCTTTTGCAATTGACTGATAGTGGTTTTGTCAGTGCTGATGGTCTTCAAGTTGCGCTCCAGATGTTTTGGGATTGCACCCAAGGTGCCTATTACTATTAGTACTATCTGTGCTTTCTTTGGCCACAATTGTTCTATTTGCAGGTCTTTATATTTTGTGATTTTTCTCCAGTTCTTTCTCTTTTCTTCTGCTTTTTCCAGGTACTACAATGTCTACTATCCAGACTTTTTTGGTGTAGGATCTGATCTAGGTCAGTCACTGGGACCAAAGGTTTTGTCTTTCGAGCTTTTGGATGCTAGCGTAGGCTAGAGAAAGCTTCCTAAACATGGGCACCAGCACAAATCCAAAAGCTCGGAAGACAAAACCTTTGGTCCGGGTGACCAATCCAGATTGGATCCTGCAACATTATCCTGGGATACGTACATTTGCCTTCATTCATGAATTTATTGATAATTGTTAACATAAAGTGTTATGTGGCAGGTGCTTGTCTGCTTTAATTCTAAAGTGCCAGAACACTTTAGTGTCTTTGTTTTCTACTATTTGTCTATCTTGTGCTCTTACCAGTTCTTCTTGCAGGTAAGTGTTGTTATTATTATTATATTTTATCCACCTTTTGAATATATAACTCAAGGTGGCGAACATACACAATACTGAAGGTGAAGGTTCATTCTCTGAGCTTTAATCCATAGCTCTACCGACCATCCTACCAAAATTCTGGATATCCTACGTCAATGACACATTTGTCATCATCAAATGCTCCCAAATTGAAGAAACAGACCACCTACTCAAAAACATATTCCCTGGGATCAAATTCACATGCGAAGAAGACAACAGACAACAGACCACCCATTCCTCGACATCAACATAAGGAGACTAGACAATAGAGAACTGGAAACCCGCATCTACCCAAAACCCACGCACATGGATCAGATTTTCTTCAGAAGGGCCAGGACAAATTGCAGCACCACAACACTAGGAAAAGCTGAAGAGAAATAGCTGCTTAACGTCTTTCTGCATAACGGCTATCCAAAAAACTTCGTATTCCAACACACAGCACCTAAACCACAGGAAACCACTAACCCTACAATACACAAGAGCGGTGTCACAAATGACAGCTAGAATTTTCCAAACCCTAGGAATAGCAATAACCCACAAACCCATAGCCACATTCCACCAGGAATTATCCAGAACCAAAGACAAGATACAGAAGGATGAAAGAATCTATGTAATCTACAAAATCAACTGTAACGATTGCAACCAATTCTATGTGGGACAAACATCATGTCAATTAAAACAAGGTTCCCTGAACACTGGCTTGGCAGTCAAATGCCACAATCCCAAACCCTTAATCTCTACTACGCTGACACCAAACAGCACCAGTTCAATTGGAGCAACACAAAAATCATCGACCATGCTATCACCCACTGTGCTCGTGAGTTTATCAAAGACTGGCACTCCACAAGCAATTCCACCAATAGACATATGGATCCACAACCAGCCTACCAACCCCTTAAAATCCAAATCAACCACACAGCCAACCAGAGACAGCACCAACCCTCAACCAACCCACACAAGCCCCCACCACCAGCAGTTCACCTCTCAATGACTTTGACTTGATGTGACCTCCCCATCACTAGACCCATCACAAGAATCTCACTAATGACTCTCACCTGATTCATCACAAGACCCATCACAAGACCTTCACTTGAAACATTCATTCCTGAAGCCCTTATAAACAGAAGAACACTGACGCTGACATTCCCTAAACTCTGCTGAAGATGTTACCTAGCCTGGTAATGAAATGTTCGGGAACCAACCCACAAGCTCGGAGAACATACCTTCACCCTTATCCTATACCCAAGCTACAGATAGTCACCTCTATTGCATACACGCTATTCCTGCCCCATATTTTCTTCACAAAAATCCTGTGATGTGGATTGGACTGTGAGCAACTGACTGGCCCAAAGTCTCCAGCCACCTTCCATTCTTAAGACAGGTTTAGAACTCACCATAAACTAATTACAAGGTCAGCAGTTTTTACCAAACTGATCTTGTTCTCAACATGTGTGCAAAGTATCAAGAGGCAGGCAGTTAGTGTAGTTTGAACTAAAGGTAGCAGTCAGCTCCATAATTCAGTAAACACCTATGAGTGATTTTAGCTGGGAACTGAGGGAAAATAACTTCACATTTTTACAAGGAAGGAGGATAGGTTTAATATAAATCACTCTTTTTTTTAGAGGCAGAGAAAAGTCTGCAGTCAAATAATCAAAGAATCTAGAATCCAGATGCATTGCTAAAATTATATAATTATCCTAACACACAAAAACCTATACCTATTTATTCACAATTCTGTGATCAGAATAGATGAATTGCACAATCATTATATATATTATAAAAATGCTATGGGAAGGCCCTCCTCCCCAGAATAAAATATTCTACAGAATATTAAAAGAGGTAAAATAGAATATTTCCCCCTACAGTCTTTCTGCTATAGCCTCAACCAGAAGCCTGAAGAGGCTAGGTTTTGTGAATGGGTATTTTGTATCCATTCATAAAGCCAGGCCCCTCTATTCATAAACAAAGGGCAGCCAACAGCTCCAAATAAGCAGCACAATAGGCAAGGAGCTGAAACTGACAAGATTAGTTTAGACAACAAAACACCTGGGATTTGCATTTCCACTTCTGCCTGTAGAGCCAGTCATGACCCCTACATGACCCCATAGGAATCTGGCAACAGTCATTAAAATAATAAAGGACATGAACAGGCATCTCAATCACAAAGCCCCCCAAATTGTATAAAAGCCCATCTACTCTCATCTCTAATTTGTCAGCCACCCCAGAAAAATGCTACTGTCACTGAAATGGAGATCTCTTTTCCAACTGCAGTTGCTTCAGTTCATTTCTTCTGTGTCTTTCTCCCAACTCGGAGTAAGAACCAGACCAGATTTCACTTCCTACAATGCAAAATTTTATTCTGTCATTTATCCAACCAATTTGCATTATGCATTCTTATAATTTTACAGAAGGAGAAAGTCCTGTACAAAATAATAATAATAATAATAATAATAATAATAATAATAATAATAATAATAATAATAATAATAATAATGATGATGATGATGATGATGATGATGATGATGATGATGATGATGATGATGATGATGATGATGATGATGATGATGATGATAAAGTTGGAAGGGACCTCGGAGGTTATCTAGTCCAACCTCCTGCTCAGGCAGGAAACCCTATACCATTTCTGACAAATGGCTGTCCAGTTTCTTCTTAAAAACTTCCAGTGTTGGCGCATTCACTGCTTCTGGAGGCAGGTTGTTCCACTCCAATTAACAAGATTGACAGTCCTTCAAAGAGGAATCAAGATCCAACGAAGAGAGAAACCAATCAAAGGTGGGCAACGAAGAACAGGACGGAAGTCCACGAAACCTCTTATCGGACTGAGGGAGAAGAAACACCGTCGGGGATTCTATAACCTTGTGACGATAGTACAGGGGGGTCATCCTTCTCTTCATTAAACTAGACATACCCAATTCCAGCAACCGTTCCTTATATGTTTTAGCCTCCAGTCCCCTAATCATCTTTGTTGCTCTTCTCTGTACTCTTTCTAGAGTCTCAACATCTTTTTTACATCGTGGTGACCAAAACAGGATGCAGTATTCCAAGTGTGGCCTTACCAAGGCATTGTAAAGTGGTATTAATACTTCACGTGATCTTGATTCTATCCCTCTGTTAATGCAGCCTAGCACTGTGTTGGCTTTTTTGGCAGCTGCAGCACACTGCTGGCTCATATTTAAGTGATTGTCCACTAGGACTCTGAGGTCCCTCTCGCAGTTACTACTATTGAGCAAGGTACCATCTAATAATGAGTCATGTGTTTCAGCAGCAACTAAGCTGCCTCCTAAGGTTTCAGCCGCCCATTGCCAGCTGCCTTGTAAACCTATCTTTGCAACCAGGACTACAAAATTGTTTTTCAGAAGTAAAGTAAGATAGCATTTTTGGTAAGTAGAATTTTATGAGCAGCACCATAGTCTCCAGATTTCTCCCATGTCTACATAATTTTTGCATACCCCGTATTGCAAGGAAAGATGATGGACTTTGACAATCTGAACAGGACAATGTTCAAAGGGGCGTAGCGCATGGCACTTGGAGAATAATTGAGGCAAAAGCAGAAGAAAAGAATAAGTATCTACCGGTTGCTAAAGACCTTTTACAGGAAACAGAATCATCCAACAATGAATTCATAAAGACTTCTTTGCTGGACATTTGGTCTATTTCACATACTCTTATCATGAATAAAACTAGCAGACTGCCAGATCTACCTCATCTGTGGGTGCTACATATAGTAGCTGTGGGTTCTACATATAGTCCAAAATCATCTATATCTTGGGCTGTGAGATGAGGTAACAATTTATTTATTTATTAAATTTATATGCTGCCCATCTTGCAACCCAAAGCAATTCAACATGGCTTACAGTGTATCACTTGGTTGCTTTAGGTATTCCTGGACTTATGATCACAATTGAACCCAAAATTTCTTTTGCTAAGTGAGACAGTTGGGTTTTGCCCCATTTTATGACTTTTCCTGCCACTTCTTTTTTTTTTTTTTTTTTTTTTTTTTTTTTTTTTTTT